CCCCCCGGTTCCTCACCCCAGCCCGGCTCCCTGCCCTCAGGGATGGGGGCAGTCCTGTCTGGAGCCTCTCTTGTCACTCCCCTTAGGCAGCTAAATGCCAGGACTTTGTCTTTCCCTTTCTTGAGGACCACGTTTGCTTTTTCTCTCTGAACCCACAGGTACCTTTGCCTTCTCTTTGTCTTCCAAACGTGCTACTCTTCCCCCAGACTCGAGTGTGGTCACTCTCTCGCCCTCCGTCTGTCGTAGCTGTGGAAGGCCGTTGGCATTTCAGAGCTCGATGACCCTGTAACGTTTTATGAGTACCAACCTGGGCGTCGGCCGTGCCCAGCACTTTCCTCCTTCCTGAGTGGGCACCGTCACTCCTGGCCCTGGCCTGACCTCCCTGATTCTGTGGACCTCTCCCCGCCCTCCCAGCCCATTCTTTTGTGGCCCCGGTGCCCAGTCCCCAGGGAGCCGTCAGTCCTCCTTGTTCCAAAGGCGCTGTGCGTTCTCTGCCCGGTCGGCGGGCATCGCGCCTCACCACCCTGCTTTGCCTTCCAGTTCTTCGGCTTCCTCTTGGTGATATTTGCCATTGAGATAGCTGCGGCCATCTGGGGGTATTCCCACAAAGACGAGGTAAGTTCACCCAGCGGGTCTCCCAGGTCCCGCAGCAATCTGAGTGTGGGGGACGAGGGTGGGACGGGTCCTGGCTGGGCATCTCAGCCTCCTCACGGACGTGCCTCTCGTTTCACCACGTCCACACGTGCCATCTGGGCGTGCACTTCCACGGCGGGGAGTGGGAGCCCCACACTCCCTGGGCGGTGCTTGGACAGCTGTGGACCTGGCACACAGGTGTTCAGAACCCTCCACGGTCTGTGCTGTCGGCCCACGCCCCAGTAGCTCTTCCAGCTCCTGGGAAGGGCCTTCTGTGGGCCAGCATCCTCACTCCAACCCCGATCTGTGACCACGAGTCCCAGGGACACCGTGAGCCATGTGTACACCCGGCCCTGCACAGGGTCCGCGGGTACAGGGTGTGGCCCCCTCCTGAGATTTGGCCACCTGGTATAGGAGAAAGACATGCCCACGCAAGGGATGCGTTTTTTTGTTTTGTTTTGTTTTTTAGTAATTATTTATTTTAACTTATTATTATTGTTTAGGTTGTTTTGTTTTGTTTTGTTTTGTTTTGTTTTGAAGAGGTTTTTGCTATAGGGTGCATGCGCTCTCCAGAAAGACAGAGAGAGACAGAGAGACAGAAAGCGAGAAATCACCCCCCCAGGGGGGATGGCCACACCACAATCCCTTCTCCTCGATTCTCCTCTCAGGATCTTGGGCACGCACGCACATGTGCCTGGCGTGAGTTTAAGCCGCCGGGTCCAGGACTCAAACCACAGTCAACTGTGTGGGAGTCCAGCAACATAGCTATTACACCAACTGCTGGTCCCTATTATTTAGTTTTTAGTTTGCTATAGGGCCCACGTATTCACCAGAGAGAGAAAGAGAGGAGGGGAAGTAAGAAAGTAAGCTGCCAGGTCTGGGACTCGAACCCCAGTCAGCCATGTGGGAGTCCCGTGCCCTAACCACCACACCACCAGTTGCCCCCAGGATGTGGGATTTCAAAAGGTGAGGTGGAGAAAGGGAATCTCTTGCATTATGGAGAAGGGAGCATTGACCTAAACCTTGAATAGAAGAGGGTCTCAGAAGGCAGGTTGGGGAGGTGGGAGGTGGGGAAAGGAAGTGTGAGCTCTGAAGAGTTTGGGCCTAGGCGCGGCCATTTTCCTAAGCACTGATGAGAAACTGGGGAACCAGCAATTAGCGTAATGGCTGTGTCGCTGGACTCCCACGTAGTCGACCGTGGTTCGCGTCCCAGACCCGGTGGCTTAAAACTCACGCCGGGCGCCTGTGCGTGCGTGCCCAAGATCCCGAGAGGAGAATGGAAGAGAAGGGATTGTGGCATGGCCATCTCCCCTGGAGGGGTGATTTCTCGCTTTCTGTCTCTATGTCTCTCTCTGTCTGTCTGGCAAGTGCATGCGCCCTATAGCAAAAATCTCTCCAAAAAAAGAAAGAAAGAAAGAAACTGGATACAGGGCCCTTAAAAACAGAAAAGCAGTAAAAGCTCCCACCATAGAAATAGGAAGAGATAATTATGAAAGGTGTTGGAAAGGTGCAGAAGGAAAAAGCCATGATCTTGATCAGTTCCTTAAACACGGTTGAAGGCCCCGGGGATAGAGATGGGGCGCACCCTGGGGAGGAGGGTGTTCCTGTATCCCCTGCAACCACACAGGAGCTGACTGCTCCCACGGCGACTCTGGAGAAGAATGCAAAGCCCGAACACCAGCATCAACTTGAAAGCCCTTTTACCCACCATAGAGAGCGCGTGCATGTGCACAAGGTGGGGGTGCCCTCGACAGGCCTCCCGGGGCCCAGTCACCCTTCTCACAGCCCCCCCGTTCATCGGCATCTTGGGCACACATTCACACAGCCAGCGCCATCTCTGGCCAACCCAGGGATCCGAACCCACAGTCAGCCGTGTGGCTTCCAGCCCTGCGGTTCAGTTTGCTATCCACTGTGCCACCAGGCCAGGCTCAACATACCTCCCTTAAGTCTTCACGGTCACTTAGACGCAGGAACTGTTCAGTGTGGTACTCCTGCACTACATGTGCTGACGCCCATGTGCACAGAGGGTTCGTGATTTGCCGTGAGCCACGCCGAGGGGAAGGGAAAAGGAGGTGGCAGTCTGAGCGAAGAGCCAGGCCAGGGCAGGATTGTGTTCAGATCGAGGAGGGCCAGTCTAGTTAATAGGCAGGACGGCACCAAGTGGGACTGAAGGGACTGCAAGGGAACAAGAGGGAGGGAAAGCCTGGGGAGTTCTAGAGGGTGAGGCACGCCCCGAGGCCCCGGGCATGGCGGTACGCCCGGCTGTGGTCTGCTCGCTGATGCTCTTGAGCATGAGGTTTGGGGAGGAGGGCGAGCAAGGCGGGCCAGCTGACACTGGCTCCCGAAGGAGCTGGCGGGGAAAACTGCCTCTGCTACTTCTCGCCTGTTCTTCGCAGGTGATTAAAGATCTGCAGGAGTTCTACAGGGACACCTACAACAAGCTGAAAAACAAGGACGAGCCCCAGCGGGAGACGCTGAAGGCCATCCACTACGCGGTACGGCATCTGCAAAGACGCGGCACCCGGGCCTGCGTCAGGGCGCGTGTGCATACAGGCGTGGGTGGTTCCACGTTAGCGTGCTGTTTACCTAGCATTCTTGCCCGTCTCTCTCTCTCCCTGCCTCGTCTCTGCAGCTGAACTGCTGTGGGGTAGCTGGAGGCGTGGAACAGTTCATCTCGGACATCTGCCCCCAAAAGGAAGTATTAGAAGGCCTCGCGTTGCGGGTAAGCGCGAGACTGGCGCCCCTGCCTGCTTGCAATGGGCAGATCCCACAGGAGGGGACGTGAACTTGGCCATCTTGTTCCAGAAAGAGCAGTCTGAGTGCTTCAGAAACCCCCTCCCCATCTGGGAAGGGCCTGGGGTACCCCTCACTCTCGCCTACCCCGGGCCCCGCTTCCTCAGGGGCAGCAAAACAGCCCCTCCAGGAAACTGACAAGGCATGATAGCTCCCTGCTATAGTCTGGCCACCCCAAGCCGAGCACCGAGCACCAACCAAGCCCAGCACACTTCTGAGCTGGGACTCCTGCTGTTAGAGTTTGTACCTGGGTCATGACCGTGGGTGAGCAGGAGTTACCGTCCGCACTCCGGAATAAAAACAAGCAACCCTACAGCCATGTCCAGCGTAGGCCTCCGCGGGGCCTGTCCCTCTCCCTTCCCTGGGGGGACCCACCTGCCATCTCTCTGGGCTCCCACGGCCATCCTCCTAGCTGGATGTCCCTTCCCCAGCCCACCCTCTGGCCTCCAGTGCCCCTGTGAGCCAGGTGCTGTGGGAGGGAGGCTTCCCTGCAGTGGGGATCCGTGTAACCCAGTCTTGGCTTGCCTCCCTAAGTCCTGCCCTGAAGCCATCAAAGAAGTCTTCCACAACAAATTCCACATCATCGGCGCCGTGGGCATCGGCATCGCCGTGGTGATGGTGAGTCAGGGGTCCGGGGAGGGGACAGTCTGAGCGTGTGCTGAGCAGTGGTCCCGGCAGGTGCTGTTTTCGGTGCCGCACGGTTATCGGCTCATTTGACCCTCTCCTTACCTGCAAGGCCACAGGGGCCGTAGAATTCCCACTGTGTGACTAGGAGATGGAGAAACAGGAGGGTTGAGTAGCCTCTCGGCTCATGAGTGAAGAATCCGAGATTCGAGCTGTGTGTGTGTCTCTAGAAGGTTCCCTCGGCATTGAGGTTAGGCTGAGTGTCAGGGGATACCGCTGCTGCTGTGCCACGCACCTCACACCAAGGAGCAGGAAGGCCACCAGGCTTTAGATTTCTGGGATGATCTCCAGATTATAACCCTGCTTTCCTGCGCCTCGAGAAAGTGGGTTCATGAGAGGGACCAGCAGTTAGCGTAATGGCTATGTCGCTGGACTCCCATGTAGTCAACCACGGTTCGCATCCCGGACCTGGTGGCTTAAACTCACGCCAGGTGCGTGTGTGTGCGTGCCCAAAATCCCGAGAGGAGAATGGAGGAGAAGGGATTGCGATGTAGCCATCCCCCCTGGGGAGAGATTTCTCGCTTTCTGTCTCTCTGTTGCTCCCTGTCTTTCTAGCGAGCACACGCGCCCTATAGCAAAAACCTCTCAAAAAAAAAAAAAAAGAAAGAAAGTGGGGAGTTGATGAGGGGCTACCTGTCTCATCCCTTCCTGTGCTCTGAAAGGCGCCCAGAGACGGGCAGCCAGAGGAAGACTGGAAACTGAATAATCCACTCACTTGCTGACCAGCCCCTAAAGACCATCCAGGGCCAGCCAGACTCCCTGAGGGAGTGATGAGAACTCACAGGGGACCCAGCCCTCGCTGGGATGGCCTGGCGCTCAGAAATCCCCGCCTCTGCCCCTCCCCTGACCCTCTGTGCCCTCATCTGCAGCTAAGAAAGTCCAGGCAGCTTTCAGTAAGACAGCAGTGCCTTTCACACACACCCCAGGTGGGCGGGCTATTGGAACTTCTGGAACTTGAGCTCTAAATTTAACTGCAGCCTCCTTGGCTCACCTGGAAAGTTCCCCAGGAAAGGTGTTTGTGGAGCTCCTATCAGCGACTGTCCACTCAGAACCCCACGAGCCCGTCCCCTAGCCCACCCCTCTCCTGCTGCAGAACCTTTTCGCTCATTTGGCCTCGTGGTGCCATTCTTCTTTCTTTTTCCTTTTTCTTTCCTTTTTTTTTTTTTTTTTTAAGTTTATCCATTTCTTTCTTTTTATTTACTTTTTTTTTAAGTTTTTGCCATAGAGTGTGTGCACTCACTGGAGAGAGACAGAGAGCGAGAGAAAGTGAGAAATCACCCCCCAGGGGCATGCCCATGCCACAGTCCCTTCTCCTCCATTCTCGGAATTTTAGGCACTCATTCCTGTGCACCCGCCATGATTTCCAGGCTGCCGGGTCCAGCTCACACTGTGGTCAGCCATATGAGAGTCCAGCTCCTTAGCCACTAGGCCACCTACTGGCTCCACCACTTACGTTTTCTGTGAACAAGGGAGAGAAAGAGTGATAGCACCCCAACACAGTCTTGGTGCTACGATCCACCCCCAGCTCCAGCCAGTCCGGGCCGTGGGCATGTGCCTGGCATACTCGGGGAGGTCTCCAGACATGAACCGGAAACCCTCCCGTGTGGGTCGGCCTTGCAGAGCATCGAGTCTTACGCCTCCCTCTGTGAACACCGTTCTTGTCGTGTTGACCAAGTGACTGATGCCCCCTTCCCCTCACCCGCCTTCCTGCCTTCTAGATATTCGGCATGATCTTCAGCATGATCCTGTGCTGTGCGATCCGCAGGAGCCGCGAGATGGTCTAGAGTCAGCCTACGTCCCTGAGCAGGAAGCCTGACCCCCGAAGATCGATGGGTGTTTTCGTTGTTTCGCCACTAACTTTAGTATTCATTCCGCATTTCTAAACCAGAGATAAAGTTACCTTATGTTTGTCTTTTTAATGCTTCACTCAACATTGATATTTGTAGTTGAATGGGGGGGAGGGGTTGGTTTGCTTTAGTTTATATATTTTATTCGGTTGTTTATTTTTGCTTGTTATGTTAAGCAGAAATCCTGCCATGAAAGGTACTATATTTGCTAGGCTCTAGACATATTGTACATAAAAGAGAATTTTTTTTGTCTTTAAATAGATAGAAATGTCTATCAAGTTTAATCAGGTTGTAACTTATATTGAAGACAATTTGATACATAATAAAAGATTATGACAATATCCTGGATGGGTTTTTGGGTTTTGCTTCCTTTAAGAGCTAGTTTTATGGGATTCTTTTTGGTTTTCTTTCTCAATTTGCCAGTAGGCACCTGCATTCCACAGGGGTGGGGGGAATAGCCTCCCATAGAATGCGGCCATGCCTCAGTCCTCCCTTCTCCATCTCTCCTTCCTTCGGGGATTTTGGGAACACACGTACACACGCCCAACATGTTTCTCAAGCCACCAAGTCCAGTGTTCCCACCCCGTAGTCAGCCATGTGGGCTTGGGGTGCCCTAACCTCCATGCCACAGACTGGCCCATGAGCTAGTTTGTAAGTGCCTTTCAACCGCCGTTTACTCCAACTGTGTTTACATCAGAAGCAGCTCGGAAGCTTGGGCCACCTGCTCTCCTAGTGAAGCAATTGAGACAAGGAAGGATTCAGGGTTTTGTTTGTTTGTTTGTTTGTTTTTTTAACTTTGGGAAATTAGTGATGAAACATGGTCTTAAAAAGCAGTATGGGGCAGCCAACAGGTGGTATGGTGGTTAAGGCTCTGGACTCCCACATGGCCAACCATGCTTCAAGTCCCGGACCTGGTGGCTTGCTTTCTCACTGTCTTTCTTGTTCTCATTCTCTCTGTCTGCCTCTCTCTGGTGAATTCATGTGTGCTATAGCAATAATAATAATAATAAACTTGGATAAATAATAAACAGTATGAGGCCAGCAGATGGCATAGTGGTTATGTTGCTGGACTCTCACACGGTCAACCATGGTTCGAGTCCCAGACCCAGTGACTTGAAATCACGCCGGGTGCATATGCATGCATGCCTAAGATCCTGGGCGGAGAATAGGGGAGAAGGGATTGCAGCATGGCCGTGCCCTCTAGGAGGTAATTTCCATTTTCCTTCTCACTGTCTCTGTCTCTCTCTGGTGAATGCGTGCAACCTAAGGAAAAAACCTCTTTAAAAACAAACAAAACAAAAACAACAGTATGTATTGGGCAGACAGAGAGCATGGTGGTTAACACTGGACTCCCACAACTGTTGTACAAGTCCCAGTCCTGGCGGCTTGCTTTCTCACTTTCTCTTTCTCATTCTGTCTCTATGGTCCAATTAAAAAATAATAGTAAAAATAATTCTTTTTAAAATGCATATGTACACGAGTGCCCAAAATCCCAAGAGGAGTATGGAGGAGAAGGGGTTGTAGCATGGTCATCCCTTCTGGGGGGTGATTTCTCACTTTCTGTCTCTCCATCTCTCTCTGTCTCTCCAGCCGAGCATATGCACCCTAGAGCAAAACATCTCTTTAAAAAAGAAAAAAAAAAAAAAAAAAACAGTATGTGGCTGCACTAAAGTTCACATAAAAATACAACCATCTAGAAATTTCTTTTCTAGAAGGCAAGTGAGAAAATACCACCTCCCAGTGGAATGATCATGCCGCGGTTCCTTCTCCATTCTCCTCTCAGGATTTTGGGTACTCACATACATGTGCCTGTTGTGTTTTTCAATCTGCATAGTCCAAGACTCAAACCATGCAGTCAGCCATGTAGGATCCAACTCCTTAACCGTCATGCCCCTGGCTGGCCCAGGGTTCAGGGATTTCGACGCAAGGTCACTTGATCATTGATAGAAGAGCCAACTGGAACCATCCGTGTGCTCCATCTTAGAGACGGAGCAGTGAGGGGCTCCATGATGGAGGAGAGCTTGTTTATAACTGCTGTGCTTCCAGCCTAGAACTTGGTGTCTGGTGCATAGTAGGCGTCTTTTTTCAACTTGCCAGAGGGCACTTGGACTCACCACAGAGACGGGGGGTTGGAGAGAGCACCCCCCAATGGGGCATGGTCATGACAATCCTTTTTTCTCCTCCATCTCTCCAATCTGTCCAGATTTTAGGCATGCACCCACATGTGCCTGGCACGTTTTTCTTTTTCTTTTCTATTTTCTTTTTTTTTTCTTAGAGGTGTTTGCTATAGGGCGCATGCTCTTGCCAGAAAGACAGAGAGACAGAAAGACAGAAAGCGAGAAATCACCCCCCAGGGGAGAGGGCCACGCTGCAATCCCTTCTCCTCCACTCTCCTCTCAGACTCCTGAGCACACAAGCACATGCACCTGGTGTGAATTTAAGCCACCAGGCCCAAGACTCGAACCATGGTGGCTATGTATGTGGGAGTCCAGCAACAGCCATTACGCTAACTACTAGTTCCTCTTTTATTTTTTTAAAGAGGGAATTTTGCTGTAGGGCATGTGTGCTCACCAAAGAGGCAGAAAGTGAGAAATTAACCCCCCCCACAGGGGGCATGGCCATCCCATTCTCTCAGGATCTTGGGCATGCACACACATGCGGGCATGAGTTTTAAGCCACCAGGTCCAGGACTCAAACCGTGGTTGACTACGTGGGAGTCCAGTGACATAGCCACTACACCATCTGCAGGTCTCCCTGGCATGTTTTTCAAGTCTCCTGGGCTGGGAGTCACACTACGTGTTTGGTCATGTGCGGTCCAGCCCCCTATGCTAGGTTATGGGGGCAGCCCTGCCCAATATTTTTGATCAATTAATTTTGGTTGGTTGAAAAAATAAACGAGTGTGTAACTGTCAGGGTTTAATCAGAGAATCAGAAGCACTAAAATATGCATATATATATTGGGGCCAGCAAGTGGTTAAGGTGCTGGACTCCCATGTGGCCCACTGTGGTTCAAGTCCTGGACCGGGGGCTTGCTTTCTCACTTTCCTTCTCACTTTCTCTGTCACTGGTCAAATTAAAAATATAAATAAATAAGAATTAAAATAATAAATAAAATCTAATTAAAATATTTTTTAAAAAGATACCTCTATAAAGGGATTTCCATAGTTTATACATTTATTCCGTGAGAGTCAGATGGCCAGCACAGAGTCCTCGCGCCACAATCTACCCCCCACCTCTGCCAGCCGGGACGGGCACGTGCTCACCCAGCACGGACAGGGAGGTCTCAGGACGCAGACCCAGGCTTTCCCATGTGGACCACCCTCACGGGTCATTGTGGGCTCGTGGGTCATCATAGCCTCCCCACTGCCCAGCTCCCTCATTCAGCATTAGAGCTTACACCTCCATCGGAGCTGGCAGCGGGCTCTGTAAGATTACTGCCTCGGGGCTAGCAGGTGGCACGGAGCTGAATGCAGCTGGATCCCATGTGCCCGACTGCAGTTCACGTTCCAGACCCAGTGGCTTAAAAATTGCACCGGGTGTGTGTGTGCCAAGATCCGGAGAGGAGGACGGAGGAGAGGTCACAGTGTGGCTGTCTCCACTGCGGGCTGACTCCTCATTCTTTCTCCGTTTCTCTCCATGGCAAGGGCGAGCACCCTACAGCAAATTTTAGAAGATAAGACTACTGTGTCTGCAGGCTGTCGGATGAACAGATGGATGCGGTGGGGAGACGAGAACAAGGTGGGACCATGGCATCAGGTCACTGGCTCAGGACGCAGGGGGTGGTGCACACCAGTCTCAGCCCTGCTGTGACTGCCCGCTCCTCCGGGAAGAGCAGGTCCCACCCAAAGCCCACTGCTGTGTGTGAAGATCAGCCCCATAGCCCTACCCCAGGACTCCGCAGGTCATGCCCTGTCCCCTGTGTGGTGTACATGATGGGGAATGGGCCAGCGTATGTGACCAAGTTACTAACAACACGGTGGTGTCTCAGGAAACCCGAGAGTGGGAACAGTGAAGCTTGGGAAGGTTCAGGACCAGCAGTTAGCGTAATGGCTATGCACTGGACTCCCACGTAGTCGACCGCGGTTCGAGTCCCGGACCCGGTGGCTTAAACTCACGCCGGGTGCGTGTGCGTGCATACCCAAGATCCCGAGAGGAGAATGGAGGAGAAGGGATTGTGGCGTGACCATCCCCCCTGGGGGGTGATTTCTCGCTTTCTGTCTCTCTGTCTCTCTCTGTCTGTCTGGCGAGCGCACGCACCCTATAGCAAAAAACCTCTTAAAAAAAAAAAAAAAAAAAACCTTGGGAAGGTTCTAGAACCATGGGCCAGGAACCCCTGCAGCAGTCCACTTTGAATGCTCTCTAGGAGGTCAATTTTCTCTGCTACTCAGTCCTCGTAGGATGGAGGAAAAGCCGCCCTCAACTCCCAAGCTTACACAGAGGGATGACCTCCATTCACTCTTCAGAAGTCTAAGAGTGAAAACGCGACCCAGCTTCAGTCAAATACCCACCCTGTCCAGTCAGCAGGCGGGGCAGGGAGCATGCAGGGTGCATGGAGTAAAGACTTGGCTACCCTCTGACCGCAGGCTGCGGGGCCGTCGAGAGCTGCCTGCCACCCCAGACGGTGCCAGCTGATCCGTCCCCTGGATCAGGACAGACATGTGCGGTTAGCTCTGTGGTTGAAGCTGGGCGCCTGCCGCTCGAGACCTAAGGGCTTTGGGAGCGAAGCCCCTGGGGCAGTGTTAGGTCCCGGGCAGCACCTCGGGTCCAGAAGGAATCTCCCTGAGCATAACAGGACCAGGGCTGGACGTGTCAGCCTCTCAGCTCAGCCAAGAAAGGCAGCCCAGGGGCAACAGAACAGAGATGGCTGGATGGTAAGAGGTTATGGCTTCCCTCAGCACCCTCAAGGACCAGAAGTGCTTTAGAACCCACCAACTCCCGGGACCAGCAGTTGACGTCATGTCTACACTGCTGGACTCTCATGCAGTCAACCACGGTTAGAGTCCTGGACCCGGTGGCTTAAACTCGCTGGGTGCGTGTGCTTGTGTGCCCAAGGTCCCTTGAGGAGAATGGAGGAGAAGGGATTGCGACGTGGCCATCCCCCCAGTGATTTCTTGCTTTCTGTCTCTCTGTCTCTCTCTCTGGTGAGTGCACGCACCCTATAGCAAAAACCTCTCCCCCCAAAAAAGAACCCACGAACTCCCTAACTCCATGAAATCACCCAGTTCTCCATGACCTGGAGCTTCTGGAACTTCCGGGTGGAAGTAAACGGCGTGAGGTTGGGCCCAGCCCCTGCCGGTATCCCAGGACTCACTCCATACCGCAGTTGTCTTTCTAGGAGTAC